CTATGCACCCCGTCTGCTTGTACTGTGGCGTACTGGGCCATATATCTCGCTTCTTGCACCACTGTCAGCAGGATGACCGGGGCGAGTGTTCAGAATATGAGCGATACTTTGCCGCAAGATCCGCTACCAATGTTCCCGTGCCGTATCCAGCCTACTCACAGCGTTCGCTATCACCTCTACAGTCCCGTGGCTTGCCTCGTTTTTCCCTCTCATCTCGCTACCGTTTTCCGTCACCATTTCGGCGTACGTCGTCACCCTTACATCGTGCTCTAAAGTCTCTGAACAGCCACCCGGATAACTAGAGGCGGAAGTTTCTGAAGAGGAAACTCCCCATTATGAAACCAGGAGAGTTCCTCCATATGGCCCAGCAAATTTTCTCCCTGTTTGTGTTGAAGGTGCTTTTGTTGACGCTCTTATAACACTGGCGCTGCCATTTCAGTCGTTTACCGCGAATTGTATGGAAAGTCAGATTCCTTTTGTTGGTCCCAAGTTATGCGGTGCTAATGACAATCTTATTTGCCCTACCAGACAGTGTACTGCTCACGTGCTCATTGGCGGAGTAAGTCATCATGTAGAGTTCGCTATGCTTAATTCGTTCACTCATGAGATCATCTTACGCTGAGATTTCTCATCATCTGCGTCAGCTGTCATTACGTGTGGTCAACCTCTTAATCGTCTTGCGGACACTGCTCATTCTTCTCCTTGGAATTTTTCGTCGTCCTACCTTATTACAGCTGCGGATTTTCACCTGCCTTCTGGCCAAGAGTGCTTTATTAGGGTCAGATCACAAGACATTTTAGACAGTGACGCAGTGGCTATCCTTTGCCAGCGCTGCATTTTTCGCGGAATCGCCATTCCCTCTTGCGTTGTGCGTTTCTCCCGCGCTTTGGCAAGCGTTACCACCTCCATTACGACATTTGAACGACTAATGCTGCCAGATGAGACCACTGTTTCTAGAATTTTTGAGGAAGCACTAATATGCGTCGTCATTGTTTCACCTGACTTCTCCTTTCCACATTATCATACCACAGGATGTCCATCTCGAGCTATCAAAGCCACTCTGAGCGCAGATCCTAATCTGACCCAGACTGACGCCTTGCTCACCACAATAATAAAACACAAAACTTGCTTCGACGTTTGTTCCGATATCTCTGGGCGAACAAGTGTGGCCGCTCTTCGCATAAACACATACGGATTCTTTATGGTACGCCATCGCCCTTACCGTGTATCATCTTGTGAACGCAAGATTATAGAAGAGCGGTTTAATCACATGCTCGCGCGCAACGTTATCAGGCCTTCACCAAGCTTATGGTCTTCTCCTGTTCTAGAAGTGAAAAAGATAGATGGCTCAGTTCGATTCTGTGTTAACCATAGAGTGATGAACAAGATTACCCGTAAGGACGTTTATCCTCTGCCTAGGATCGACGACGCTCTTAATACATTACAAAGTGCTGAGCACTTTTCAAGTCTTGACTTACGCTCTGGTTATTGGCCAAAGCCTATGCATGAGTCCGATAAAGAGAAGACTACCTTTGCTACACCTGATGAACTCTTCGAATCCAACGTTATGCCTTGTAACCTACGCAGTGCCCCTGCCACACATGAACGCATGATAGATATCGTACTGCGAAGCTTATCATGGAAGACCTGGCTTCGCTATCTGCACGTCATCGTCATTCGTTCGTTTAGCTTCTTACCGCATCTCGAACGACTATTCAAACCCGTAACGTATCTAGCCAAGGCTGGCCTCCAGCTAAACACTAAGAAGTGTCGGTTTGCCAGTCGCAGCATCAAGGTTTTAGGTCATGTTGTCAGTAAACATAGCATTGAGCCCCATTCTGACAAAGTTGCTGCAGTACTTAAATTTCCTATATCAACAACATTCAAACACATTTGCAGCTTCCTCGGCTTAGAAACCTACTTTCGCCGCTTTGTGCGTAATTTTGCCACCATCGCCGCTCCTCAGCCCAAACTTCTGACCGCGAGTGTACCTTTTGTCTGGTCCGATGCCTGCGAAATCACCTTCACATCTCTCAAGCGATGTCTCACATCGCCGCCAGTGCTCCATCACTTCAACCCTGCAGCACCTACTGTAGCGTTAACTCACTAAGGCTTAAACAAAATTAAAATATCATTTGTTTAAACATGCACTCTTAAAAAAGCCTGCTTATTCATAACTAAATACTAACCCTCTGCTTGTCACAAAAAGCAGTAACCTTCTAGTAAGTGTAGGTAGTAAAATGCTATTAGTGAAACTTGCTAGTTTGAAAAAAATGCTTCGTGAATAGTGCTGACTCGAATAATAATGCATTATCACATTGATACAATGCCACAACAAGATAATAAATTAGCCAAGTATATATCGTATATTAAGCGATGTGCATTTGTTCAGCTAGACTATTCAGTGGTCACTATTTATTTCTTGTAATTACCATGGCAAGTACGCATGAGAGCAACCAACATAGAGGTCTTAAGGAATCACACACTAGCGCATACATGCAAACGCACGTATAGAATATAAAGCCTTAGACGGTATGTACTGTAGCAGCCGTTTGAAGGCTATTTATGCTCCTACTTTGGGAGAGCACACTGTGTACTGATCAGCAGCCATATAACTTACACGTTTTTCATACGTCGTCGTTTATTTTTCTAGATATGTGTGGCATCACTTGGTATAAAATTTTTATTCAAGACTAATAGACAAAACAATCATTGCTGTAAATTTTTATAAAACGTGCCATAATTAATGCAAAATATACGTTAGTATTGTTTTTACGAGAGATCTCTCAACATACGTGGATTAGTAGTTACCTATTTGAAATTAACTAGAAAACGTTCGTGGCTAGTAACGGCAAAAGTTTCAAGCTTTACTGGCTCCTAGCTATGGCAAAGAAATGCCACAAAGTTACAGTAAAATACGTTCAAAATAAGTATATACAAGCGTTCACAACTGTTTACTAACTTTTTATAAGGTTTTGCTGACCCTGCAAAGACTATAGTTAGCGGGAGAGCTGCCCCTAAGTGAACTTGCAGTGTTGTTGTACTGCACGAGATAACTCACCAGCTACTATCCCTCGACCGTGAGAACACATTTAGCGTACTTTTAAAGATGGTAGTCTTTCTTGGGGACCTTCGACGGAAAAATTGTGGTCTGTCTGGCTGGCTGTCTGTACAATTGTCTGTTTGTCCGCCCTAACGATACTTCAAACGGCAGGCCCGTGTGCTCAGATTTGGGCGCACGTTAAAGAACCCCAGGTGGTCGAAATTTCCGGAGCCCTCCACTACGGCGTCTCTCATAACCATATGTTGGTTTTTGGACGTTAAACCCCACAAATCAATCAATACTTCAAGCGGCACCAAACAGCCGACCCCATCCGCCGAGGCACATCAATAATGCTCAAGGTTTAGCGTTCATAGTTGTGCGATTATCAATTAAAAAGCAAGTATTGCGCATATCTGAGGCACCACAACAACGCTTCGATGTTTTGTATGTCTGCTTTTATACTAGAAGAGGCACACACAAGTAACTCTAAGGAATGTAGCGTTTACTTCCGCGGCGCTCACAGTGCAACGCGATGCTCGAAAAGCTGCTTGCAACGCTTTGCTACGACGTCATTGGAGTGGCACCTGCCCATCGCTTTGCATTCTACACCTGATCACCTCTGAGACTGGCGCGCATCTTTCTCCGCGTGCTGCAGGCCTTCGTTTTCAAAGACAGGGGGCACTTGTGTCTAACGTGCCTCGATGCGCTCGTTCTCCTCCGCTACACGCTCGAGGCACTCTAACGCAACGCCTGCGGAACACCATTCACCGTTTTTCTTGATTGATTGATTGATATGTGGGGTTTAACGTCCCAAAACCACCATTTGATTATGAGAGACGCCGTAGTGGAGGGCTCCGGAAATTTTGACCACCTGGGGTTCTTTAACGTGCACCCAAATCTGAGTACACGGGCCTACAACATTTCCACCTCCATCGGAAATGCAGCCGCCACAGCCGGGATTCGAACCCGCGACCTGCGGGTCAGCAGCCGAGTACCTTAGCCACTAGACCACCGTGGCGGGGCACCGATTTTCTTGCGCAGAACATTTAACAAACGTTTTGTTCACTCTCTCCAGACGCAAGGCTATCGTCTTTTGACGACATTTGCGGTGTAACATGCAGATATGAAACCAATTTTATTCAGTTCTTATGCATCTTTAACATCAGATTTTTGTTGTCACAATAACTTTTAGCTCAATAAACCTGCCGAAATATGCCGTTCCAACATTGAGGAATTGTAGGTATGGAATTGACCTGCCTGTTCGTTTCTGGAGTGGGATTTGGCTAAGTTTCTTTATTCCAAAGAACTGAAAAGAATAGAATCAGGGCAAGTTGCAATTCCCTGATATGGAACTGGAGTGCTGTGGAGGTGTCTTTTCGGCAAGACTGCTCTGGCTTATACTGCTGTTTAAAATTTGAAAACTTGGAAACAGATGAAAACAGGCTCTAATCTTTTCAAAAAGTCCTAAATTTATTACCATTCCATCATGTGCAAAATTTGCGTAATTTTGTTCGCATTCCATTCATTCAAACATTGTCCCCATTCGATTTCATGATCGCGAAAATGTGAAATAAATCCGGAGTCATTTCAATTGTGGAGTGACATCTCCACAACACTCAACACAAGTAAGAACACCTAAAGAGGACTTTTTTCTTTTTTTTTGAAACGAAGTTGCATGCGTTTTTTATACGGCAGGGTTTTTTCGCAGTACAGAGTCCGAATAACGGGGTGTTTTCATTCATTGATTCAATAGACTCTAACATGTTTTTCAATTTCTATTTATTACATGTATGAAAACCTTTTTTCTTTACTTTTCACCATTGTGAGAACACGTGGTGCTGCTCGGGTTTTTTACGCCGGTCATGAGTGAATGTCATCTACTTGTAATTTCTGTGTTGGATATTTTCTATAACATGTTCCAAAACTTAACGACTACATTTTAAACACTTCTTTGCAGACTTGTAGGAGAGGCGTTTGTGGAAGGCACTGATTTCTGAGCTTAGAAAGAAGATGCATGTATCTCTTCGAGAGATAGTAGTTTCTGAGAAATAAAATAAAAATATTATACAATGTTCGTTTTCGCTATTTCATTTGCAATGGTCTGTACCAATCATAAGAATCACGTTAACGTTAGTACGTGTAGTGCTTGAAGAATTTTGTGTAAAGAAGCGGGATAACAGGAAACGCATGCCTTTCGTTTCTTGCTATACAATACTACTCCCACAAGCAGGATGCTGCATAGTGGAGGAAAAAGACAGTTCAATAAAACGCATGCGCATAAAAGTTAATCGTTTGGTTTGTAATCGTATTTTACTTGGCAAAGGCTCAGAGATGTTTGTTTACGTATGTTCACGTCACAGCCATAACATATACGCTCACCATATTCACATGTTTATTTATTGTATTCGTAACTACCAACAATTGCGATGGTGAAGCAAATTGGCGGTGAGCGGGAAAGACGTGATGCCCGCTTCGATGAGAACTCACCCTTGCTACCAAATAAGCGTTCCAAGTACGTATAGCTAACAGTAATCTAACTCTAAGAACAATACGCGACATGTTTTGTCCTTACAATTCAGATCGGTTGTTTGTTTATCGCACCTGCTGATTTTAGTCTCCGGTAATAGGATAATGAACCTTAGAAACAGAGCAGAGTAGTGGTGAATACGTTGCTGACGCAGCATCAGAACGCCATTATAACGCAATTTTAATGAAAACAGACGTCACTTAGGAACTTGCAGGACACACAGTAAAAGGTGACGTACGATGTCATCAATACGTGGTGGAAGCAAACTCCATCCAATTCTCAGTGACCCAATTCGTGTCACTGCATTCCTGCTTCAGTTCACTTCATTCAGCCCTACTGCTCGCCACCACCTTCGTTGTTTAGCCAAGAGGAGCCGGCTGATCATTTTTTTTGGGGGGGGGGCGAAGCTCTTTGTGCTGTGGGCAGTGCATCCGCTATGTATGTAGTAATCATCGTAGTAGTAGGTAGCCACCTCGACGGCCAGAATAGAGAAGTGGCATGCGCGCACCATTTTCAATTGAGGAGGAAACCCGTGCACCCTAGTCATTAATACAAATGTAGTTGTTTCTGATAAAATAGCTTACACAGACGAGTATTGGTTTTTTAATTTCTAATAAAATTTGCTTTGAATGATGCTTGCTGAAAAAAAAACTAGTATCAGGAGGACGTGCTTTGAGCACTATCTGACTAGAAAGGGTGGCCACGTTAAACTCGCTGGGCGTAATCTCCTTGGTTTTTGCAAGGTTAAGCCAGGGTTTGGCCGCAGTACCATGAATATAGTGAACTACAGGTTTTCCCACTCACTTTTTTTCTAGTGTCATCGTAAATAATTGACAAGCTGTTGAAATTATGTGAGTGTCCAGCTATTTATCCCATGTGCCAAACATTTATTCTAAGCGCCAACATATTTATTCCAAGTGCCGACTCATCTAGGCCACGTGCCAGTGAGATTAATCCAAGTGCCAGTATGTTTAATCCAATATCGATCGACTTTATTTCTGGTGTCAGTTAGTTCAATTTATGCACAAAATAGAAAATACCGGGCGCATAAACGACAGTGTGATTGGAATGCAGTTCTACAATATATAACATATTACTCGCAATGTAGAACAAATCATCATTATTTGTATTCACCACTAGTGTTTGGAAAAAAATGACCGTCATTGTTTGCTTGAGCATTGTTTGTGCTGTTCTAAGTAGAAGTTAGTAGATTAGTGCTTGACCTGGGTGGAATCATTTTACAGGCAACGTAAGAAAAGCAGGCACATATTAACGAATATTTTGTGTTCATCACTAAAACTCATACTTGAATTTGTACAGCATTACATGATCGCCACAGGTCATGTAATGTGAAGGACAGACTATGGTTATTGGTGTGCCGGAATGTATATCAAAATATAGAAAATCTGGTTGTGGGCAGCAACTGGTCAAAAGCATGTACATAATCAAGAAATAAGGAGGTGCTCACAGGGCAGAGTGAATTATGAAATTTCGAAGGGGTTTTCATCCGGAAGTGCACATAAGAGGCAACGTCATGATGCTGATGTGGACAACGGAAGTCATATTTTACACTCATATTAGATGTTACTTTATCATTCAAACAAAATTTTGAGTATTCGATGAAACAAGGATGCTTAAGCAAATACTCTTCGGCAACACCTGCGGCGTCTGTTATACGAAAATAGGAGTATCTCCTTTGATGCTCTTATAAAAAAAATTATTCCACATGAAGCCAAGTAAATGCAAATTTAGTTTTTAATGGTATTATGGTTGGATGAGTATCATCTGTCAGGCACCATCTTCCTTACCGCGCTGAGCGGACGACTGCGAACACCTCAGCGAATAAGCAGCCAAGCCGTCTACTGAGCAGCAGACATGAATCTCTGAATATGCGATGATGTGGATTATTAGCCGGAATAATGCAGTAGCGATGAAGCGTATACAAGTATTGTCTCTCTTGAATTTGAAGCTATGACAACATAACGTTAGGAATAAAGAGCACTGCAGCTCGTATCATAAGTGCTAACACGTATATATGCGAGCGCTTCCTGTCGCTTTACGATTACTTTCTTCCTGTCGCTTTATGTTTACATTATTCCGACATATAGACGGTATAAAGTGGCAACCCATGTGTTTCTTGTGCATGGAATAAACTGACTGGCACCTCAATTAAAGACGATGACAACTGGAATAAACATGGTAGCACTTGGATTTAACTCACTGGCACGCAAGCTAAGTTCGTGTGCGCTTATAATAAATATGTTGGCGCTTGAAAGAAATCTGTGGCACATAGAATAAATAGCTTGTCGCTCAAATTATTCCAATTTGAAGTTTAACCACAGCGAGTCAGGCTGAAGTTCTTATATCAGTTTTTTTTGCTTTTTTCCGGCTCTCGTGTTATGCTTGCTCTATGTTTCGCGAACGCAGCTGTGTTCGCCAACTGTGACTTGCTGGGAAACTGATCCAGCTTTACACGTAGAGAGCGTCCCTTGGTGTTCTCTGCATCGTTGTGCCAGCCCACAACACAATACTTTGGACCTCACCGCCGCTTCTATGGGGCCGCTTATTCTATAGCGGAAAGGCAATTTCGCACAGTGAGAGTCTCGCTTTAGCGCACCAAGTTGAAGGCACGGCGCGTAGGTTCCTCGCACCGAATGCCGAACGCGTTGCGTGCGTGTCGCATGAGGGGTTTTCGTCGCACGCGCTCCCGTTTCGGCGAAACACACTGATAGCATCTTCGGGAATCGGGCCCCGGTGCAGTGGCGGAGCAGCATAGAATTTCCCCAAAACCAAAAAGGGGCAGATCGCCCCGGTTTAGTGGAGGGGCAAATGACGATCGTCCGCTGATCGTCTACTGCGCGCACGGGGCGCAGAGAATGCCGGGATTGCACAGCGCCGCTCCCGCTATTTTTCGGAGCACCTCGGAGCAACAACAACAAAAAAAGCACCGTGACATGGCGCGCCCTGGTTACTGAAAACGGCTGGTGCTCAGTGGTGCGCACCAGTGCGCTTTTCCGACGATGCCATGACTCGCCTGCGACCTTTCCCGCGTCTCCCCTCAAGTTTTCCGGAGCTCGCTGCCACGGCCAGGTGCAGCGTTGTCGTCACTCCGCAAACTTGAGCATCGGATAGGCGAGGTGGGCGCGCACGTGCAGTAAGCGTGTCCACACCGCACACCTGACTGAATAAGCTTGACCATAAAATGCTTCGCATCAAACATGGCTGGTCTTCCGAACACCTTGGTCTACCATCGCGACTCTATCAAACAGCCACCGAACACTCTGTAGCTGGTAAGCTCGAACCTATGCTGACAATCACTTTAAAATGGTGTATTTAAGTTTCTACAACAGAGTCTTGAATCGATTGAACACCGTTTCTGAGAGCCATACTCAAATAATTGATGTCATAGGCTTAGCGAGCGGGGCTGGGCGCTTGCTGAATTTCCGAGGGCACTAGACTCTAAAAAAAAAGGAGCGAGAATGGAGAAACGGGGTCCATTCCTCCTTCGGCGCAGCGACGTCCTCCCTTTCGGGTGCTTTACCCGTCGTGCCTTGTCGCAGCAAAGACCAAAGGAGCAATGTTCCTCCTTCAGCGTTCAAGTTTCTCCTCCAATCACGTGGTCTTGCGCACGCGCAAGCGCACGTCGAGCCTAGCTGGGCGCGCCCAGTCGATAGCGATTTCTTTTACCAAAGAATGACGCAAGCAATGCAGGAGTGGCGTTTTTTTTTGTTTTATTGGTGTCGAGTAAAAGCATCTCTTTCTTTATCGCTAGGCACTCGCACAATGCTCCACATACTTCCGTGTGTGTTTCGTGTTGTTTCATACTACCAAATTGTCACGAATACAAAGAGCTCTGCTCCCCAAGCAGTCTTGATTTATCGATTACTTTAGACTGTACACAAATAATGATTTTTTTCGGTGTCGACATACTTGGTAAGCTCACGCACTTTTAGTTTCGCACAGCACCAACAGCACTCATGAATTGAACGAGGCGCATAAAAAAGATCACACTTAGTTTTTCAACATTCTAGGAAACCTGATACCACTGTGCAGTCCATGCGTGAAAGCATGATCATATACAAGTGATAAAGTTATACGTGCCGCTACCGCCATATACATTTTCTTTGCAGTTTACCCCTATTTGAATACGGCCGCCATGGCCGAAGTCAAACCTGCGTCCTCCGGCATACTCACACAACACCCACAAAGATATACTACCACGGTAGTTGAAAGCACAAAGTGAAACAGGCTGTGAAGTTTCACCGAGCGTTTATTCGCCCGACAGAGTTTTAACCATCAGAAACGTTTTAAACATCATGCCCTGCCACAGTGGTCTAGTGGCTAAGGTACTCGGCTGCTGACCCGCAGGTCGCGGGATTGAATCCAGGCTGTGGCGGCTGCATTTCTGATAGAAGCGGAAATGTTGTAGGCCCATGTACTCAGATTTGGGTTCACGTTAAAGAACCCCAGGTGGTCAAAATTTCCGAAGCCCTCCACTACGGCGTCCCTCATAATCATATGGTGGTTTTGGGACGTTAAACCA